TAAATATGTTAATGCAGGTCAGATATTATATTAATGCTAGCCAGATATTATGGTAATGCCGGCCGAATAATCTTATTCCGGGACCATATTAAAAATCCCGCGCGGAATCCAAAAAAATCCCACGCGTGCCCATCTCTATATGTAAATCATCTTTACATTTACTGAACCAATAGTTTTATTCGATGGACTATCGCTATCGAATCAATAGAAATAAAAGAACGGTATTGTGGTTTGCTTTGTCGATCAGACGGTGATTTTCAAAGCAAAGACCTTATATGATTGATACAGTTTAAAGTTCTTTTTTAAAAAAATAAACCTACGAAGAATAAATAACAAAATTTATATAGAAATTTTATTAGGGTTGTAGGACTCACTATTGAAACAATCAAAACCTCTTTATTTTGAAGTTACTTTTTTCTAAAAATAGATAGAGATGACACGTTATAATATTGGACATTTGGATAAGGTCCAATTTGTCCAAATAGTTTAATTGGACATTATGATTTATTGGACACAAAAATATATATATAATATTGAGCAAAAATTACCAAATAATGATAATTTGGCTCAACCAAATAAATAAATGTTGTGAAACAGTATATAAATATAAATTAAAAAACCTTATATAGTAAAACTATAATTGATTACTTATAACTTTAATGCTACTATCAGAGTTATCTTAACCTAGCATCACCTAAAAATCAGTTCCTGTAAAATTAAATAGCAGCATTCTGATAGGTTGATATCGATATAATGAAGTTCACGGGCTGATATCAGAAGAATGTTCAAATACATATTTCTCATAAAAATTTTTCGCTATATCAAAATATTCGTTATGTAAAAATTCGTTATCTTGAGTTTTGACTATGTGTGCAAAACAGAAGATGAATCTCGATATCTTTATTTTCGTTTAATTTTTATTACATAATTCCAAAAAGATGGTTTCTTAAACGAATATAATTTATTGGATGGGCGCGTAACTTCGAATTTATCATGAATGATTAAAGCCTAAATTAAATGATTGCATTTTCTTTTAACTTGTAAAATTTCATTTACATAATTATCTGCACGCTCTTAAAGTTTTTTTTGCATTCATCTACGGATTTCATAAGACGTCAAAGATTAATTTCATTATAAGAATGAATGAGAGCTCATAAATATACACATCAAAAAATGTTAGTGTTATTCCTCATTTTCAAACCCTTTTAGGTTCTTCGCCATCCTTTTGATTGGATCGAAAATTTTCTCAAATACAGTCGTTTCCTTTTTAGCTAAAGGAGTTGATGACTTTTCAACCTAAAAAAGTTAATTAAAATTTTCATTAATACAGTATTATCTAATGTTTTCTGCACTATCTAACGAATTTTCTTTCATATTAGACAAAATAATGAAAACTTTTCATTGTTTTCTGTTTTATGTTTCAAACATTTGTAGCCAACCTCTTTCCTATGAAAAGCCTCTAATTTTTTAAATTTTGATGCGATTCGCAAATAGAAGTCTATAGCGACAAATTGTTAACATTACGAAATTTGATTGTCATATACAAAATCAAACTATCGTAATTATAATTTTGGGTTTTAAAGTGGGAACTGATTTTTGGGCGATACTTGGTTCGTGGAGTTGTCTTCGTAATGCATAATAGGAATTATTTGATTATAATTATGATTCAAATTTAAATTAAAAACTGAAATTATTAAAATCTAGCTTTTAGATCATAAAGACATTAGAACAAGCAAAATTTAGGGCATGGTAAAATATTTGCTTGACAATATATAGTTAATGCCATATTAATTGTCAAACGAAAAATTTTATTTTAAAATATAAATTTATTAGTTTTTATTGTACTTTAACATATTATTCTGACTTTTTTAAATAGGATTTATTTAATTATATAATAATTAATTACTTCTTTTATTACTAAATTTTATCCAATAAAATTTTTGGAGAATTGGACATATTTTCAATTTGTATAATTTGATAATTTATTGGACATTGCCCAATATCTAATGCCCAAAAAATCTTTATTGAATTTATTTAAACATTATCCAATATCAGCTCTGGGTATGCTTATGATCATGATTATTGTTATGCTAACTTTTTGTTTATTTTCAATAGTGGAGTAACCTTAATAAAACTTTCTATATAAACTTTCTATATACTTTTTTAAATTTATTCTTTGTAGTTTTATTTTTTGTTAAGTTCTTTATGAATATTGTAAAATTAAATGATGGATTTAAAACAACCAATCATTCGAAAGTCTTCCTATGACGACGTCAAAATTAATAACGGTGGTGGCAATGCAGAATTGTGGAATCTTATACCGCATTAATTATTGACACAGCCATATCGTATAAGCAAATCTATCATCACCCATAAAAAAACCATACCGATACCGCTAACATCTCTTGCGAATATAGTATATTATAAATACGTAATGTTAAATTTAGAGATCTAGCTTTTAAATTTGATTACTAAGCGATTCGTATATTAAGAAATACGTAACACATATAAAATGTGATGTTTTCTATGGGTGATGCTAGGGCTATTCAACCATATGTGACATGCTACAATTCGGGAATTGGCGTCAACTGTAAATCTTCCAAATAGTTTCGCGACGTACTATGACGTTTCTTCTGTAAAAAAAAAAAATAAGAACGAACCCACCAGTCATGTGTTAACATTAAATTATTCCGACATCACTATTACCTAATAAATTTTTTACGTCCTAATCATGTGGTAATGAACGTTAACTAATCAAAACTTGCATCTAGTGCATTTATTTCTCACTAATTCATTAAATCTTGAAAGTATCCACTGTCCCCACCATGCGCTGCATGATTGTATGTACATATTACGATTGAATGCCCCAAGCTTCTTTGGCCTTGTCCTGGGACGTCCTCTCAATTTCTCAATTTTTTTAGTTTGTCAAAGCAATAATAAAATATGTGTAAAAGTAAATTATAACCGTTTTTATTTAAGGGCTGAAAGTTGTTTTAATAAAACGAGTTATTGGCATTTTTAAAAATCTCAAATTTGTCCCAACTATCCTGTTAAAAGACTGTTACTTGTTATCACTAATAATGTTATGAGATGCAAAATTTAATTTTACGTGACCTTTAAGAAATAAAAGTTTTTATTCGTAAAAAAAAAAAAAGAAGATTTTGATATACGTAAAAAGTTGTTAAATATAGAAAGCTTTTTTTTTTTTTTTGAAATCTAGACTTCATTTATTAATTATTAATTTTAAAGGGGTAATATTAATTATAAATTTTATTAACTTGTAATATACAGTATATTATATACTATATCAAAATTTATGGGATTAACGACAGTTGTATGGTGAAGATATTAGAAATTGTTCAAGACATACGGATAATTTTTTTTAATCAAAAAAAAAAAAAAATTTTTTTATAAAATACATCTAATGATTATATGCTCTATATTTTTTTTTCATTTTAATAATTGAAATAAGAAAAGCTAAATATCAAAAAAAAAAAAAATTTAACAGAATTTTCAAAATTCAAGAAAAAAAAAATGCCAAAACGTTTGAGAATTTAAGAGAATATTTTTCTCATTCAATTGCATAAATGTGAATCTAAGTTTGTTCGCAAATCTTAACACTTGCATCACTATAAGATAATATTTTTACATATCTCAATAAATCTTGCACTACAACCGATTTTTGATTACAATTGATTGTCTTGATCCCATCATTATTAACGCAAAGTCGTCTAAGTGTCCCTCGTTCTTTTGCAAATTTTGCGATAGCAGCAAAATATTCATCTGCCATCTGATGATTTTCAAAATATTGGTTTAATATCAATGTTTCTAAAGGAGCTTTACAATGAGTTAATAATGCATCTAATTGTTCGAAAGTCATTATGAAATTTAATTCCAAGTAATGTAATAAAGGAGTAAAAATCTTTCCCAAATCTGGTGTGACTTCAACAAGTTTTGGATTATGTCCACCGTACTCCATAATTGCGAGATATTGTAATTGTTGAATACCAGATACCATAGCTACCAATTGTTCAATACTAACATTGCTTACACAAACATCAAGATGAGCGAGAGATGGACATGCACTTGGTAAGATTTCTATTACTTTACTAGTTGCGCAACTAAGATGTAATTGTTTGATGGATCGATTGCTTGCAGATTTTAGAATTGCAATAGTGACTTTTTCACCAAAATCACTATCCAAATATAAAGTCTTTAGTGGAAATTTTGCATTTTCTAATGGTTTCCATGTACCCAACGTTAAACAACAACATTGAATTATAAGAAGTACTTCAAGTTTTTTGCATTCAGCTAAACCTTGTAAAGACAGATCCTGAAAGTGAATATTATGAAGTTCCAAAGATGTTAAGGAGTTTGCCCGACTACTTAATGCAGAAATAGTCGGTTCTATAACCTGAGTAACTCCGCTACTTTTGTCACACAATCTAAATTCAGAAAGATAAGTAAGACCTTCAATGATAGAGACCAAAGTATCAGCCATAGTCTTATCAGTGGTGATGACATCTATGTCTAAATGAGAGACATTTGGTGCAATTTCAGGTAGAGCTTCCAAGAAAGAAATCATATTTTTAAGTTTTGTTCGATTAAATGAACCAACAATAAATTTGATTTTTTGTAAACAAGATAATCCTTTATGACCTTGAATAAATATAGAAACATCAGGTAAATCCAAAATACGTTCAGTATAAGCTAATTTGAGTTGATGTAAAGTCGGATCGCCTTCTAAGAACAATTTACAGAGAGCAGTCATTACTATAATAGAAGCATTATTCAAAGAAATTCCAGGAAAAGCTCTACGTCTTGTCGGATAATTGCTACAAGCAGTTCCTTCATATTTGATCCAATGACGTACCGAAATTTCTAATCTACGATAATCAAGGTCTTTGAGAAATGAAGCATAATGAAAGAAAGGTTTAGGATAATTTGGCAAATTTATGCCATGTTCAATTAAAAAAGATCTCTCCTTTTCTGAAAGACAAGAAATGTAAGTTCTGATAAGGGGTGCAATATTGGCAGATTCAAGAGCCGATAGAATTTTCAGGGGATGTCCCCAAAGCCATGGAATTACTCGTCTACACCAATATCGATTTACGAGTAGACATGAATATAAAGAATGTTTATCATGTTTAACATGAGAAAGAATTTCGTCAATAGTTTCCTGTGGTAAAAATAATGGATTTGCCATTTTTTTTTTTTTTTTTTTTTAGAAAAATGAAAAAAAGGAGAGTAAAGTAATAAAAAAGCGTTGACAATTCGCTTATGTCATATTTATGTTTAACGAGGATCTGTTTATTATATAATAATAATACAAGGTGTTGTTTGTGTTACGCGAAATACGGCAGTATGATGCAGATCATTAAATATATGTACGTATCGGTGTGTGCGTGGACTTGAAACTTAACCTGTAGTGGTAGTTAAATATAAATTAGATTTTGCAGAATTTTTTATTAAAAAGTAGGAATATGAAATCTTCTACGGATACTATAGATAATATAAAAAATGAAGACAATATAGAAAATGAAGAATTTCAAGAAGATTTTAACAATATTAAATTTCCACCCGAGTTAGAGGCTTCGATATCTCAAATACTTCAAACTAATGATCCATTGGATAGCAATGATTTTAATCCTATAGAATATCTTAACCAAATGCTCCCAAATGGTAAGCTGTATTATTTATTTGGGTTACATTAAGATAAAAAAAAGAAGTTAAATGCTATGTTTGCATTTAATGTAAAAAGAACAAGCATTGGCTTCTGTCGATGTGACAACTAAAAAGCTTCAAGCCAAAATGCGACAATTGAGTGAGGATATCAAGGAACTTTCTAGGTTGCAAACTGATGGTGGACAACGAGGACCAGAAGAAGTCGCAGAGGCTAAGAAAGCAATAGAGGTTAGTTTTACTCTTTAAATTAATGAGAATGAGTTAATCCAGACTCATTCAATATTGATTCTTTGTTATTTAATATAGGAACTTTTTGATAGAATAAGACAAATCAAAGAGAAAGCATCACAATCAGAAACAATGGTGCAAGAAATAACCAAAGATATTAAATCATTGGATTATGCTAAGAAGCATTTAACAATTTCAATTACTGCTTTGAAGCGATTGCAAATGCTTGGTGAATAAAAATTTCTTGTTAATTCATTTTACTGGAGATTATTCTTTAACAAGTAAGCTTATTATTAACTCTGTACTATTTAAAGTTACTGCCGTAGATCAATTAAAAATAATGGCACAGATGAAACAATATAAGGAAACATCGCAACTTTTACAAGTAACGTATATATACTTCTACTTTTTTTAATATATATATATGTTAATTAGTTAACAATGTTACCTAATGTACACAATGCTATATATTTTCCAATTATCAGGCTGTTCTACAACTTAGTTCATATTTTAAAAGTTACAAAAGTATTAAACGAATAGCAGAATTATCATCTTCGGTGAACACATTCCAGAATGATCTAAAGAGGCAGATTTTTGAAGATTTTGAGTCTAGGTATAAGAAATACGGGATAATTTTCAAATAATTCTTTTTTTTAAATTGATTTTGCTGATATCTTTGATATTTTATTTAGTTTTGCTATTGATGGAGGTTTCAGTAGTCAGACAACACTTTTGGCCAACGCATGTTTAGTAATTGATATAATGGGTTTAGATGTCAGGTAGTCAAATATTAAATTATTAGAGTTATGTCAAAATAATTATGATTCAAAGTATAAACGGATTAATTTTTCAACCAATTAGATCACAACTAATGAAATGGTATTGTGAGAAACAACTAAATGATTACAAGAAAATATTTCGAGGAAGTGATGAGGTGTTACAAATATAGTATAAGAATATTTTTTGGAATATATGAATTCGTAATTGAATATTTTATATGTAATAGATTGCATCTTTGGAAAATACATCTAGAAGATATTCATGGCTAAAGAGAATCCTTAAAAATTATGATGAAAAACATGCAGCAATATTTCCTGCCAATTGGCGATTGAGCGAATTCCTCAGTATTCAATTTTGTGATATTGTTAGGTATTGATATTTCTTATATTTTAGCTATATATATTATTTAATATTTGGTTTTAACTTTTAATGCCCTTATTAGGGAGGATTTAGTAAAAACACTTGCAAAGACTAACGAGTTGGATGTAAAGACATTGCTCAAAAATTTACAATTGACAATTGAGTTTGAAAATCAACTGACAAAGCGTTTTTCTAACATGGTACAAGCATTAATATTTTATATGATATACCAGCTGCAACTAAAAACGTAGCTTATAAAATAATAAATAAATAAATAAATAAATTTTAGGATAAATATAGATCATCCAGTGCGGATCACACACAATATAATTTTAGTAAAACTATATCCACAGCATTTGAGCCTTACCTAGGGCTTTACATTGAAGCGGAGGATAGGTATGCTTTACATTTTTATTTTTTTGTTGTCGCACAATTCAAGTCGATCATTTTTATTAAATTATTATAATATAGTACATTATCGGGAATGATTAATTCATATCACACGGAAGCGCTCCCGGATGAAGAAGTTTCATCTTCAGTGTTGCAATCGAGCATAGATTTATTCTACTTTTATCGTGAAACACTTGCTAATTGTGCAAAATTATCAACTCGACAACCTTTTTATGATTTATGTAACATGTTTGCTAAATGGCTTCGCATCTATGCGAGTGAAGTTTTGATAGGAAGGCTTCCAAAGTGCGTAGAGTATCAGCACGATAATGTTATACATTTTTAAACAAATTACTTTAATTATTCGTGTTATTCGATTAAAATAATGATTTATAGGGAAGAACGCCGAGCAATAACTCGTGATGAATTAAAATTGATATGTTTTATAATTAATACAGCAGATTATTGTTATGTTACAACCTCACAGGTATAGATGTATTTAGTATCTGATTATATAATATCGATTTCTGGCTTTATTTTATTTTTGACTTTATTCCATTTTGACATAAATATAGCTTGAAGATAAATTAAAAGATACTATAGACCAAGATTATAAAGAAAAAATAAATTTTGATGAAGAACGTAATCATTTCCTAAAGTAAGAATCAGTTTGTTTTTGCACTTGTATTATAATAAACGAAAATTAATACGATGGCTTGGATTGTAGTGTGGTAACTACATCTGTTAGAGCATTGATCCGTGGGATAGAGTCGTCCTATGATCCTGCACTTGTAGCTATGACAAAATTACCATGGAGTAATCTAGAATCAGTTGGAGATCAATCAGAATATGTTACTCTATTCAATAGAACGATGTTAAGTTGTGTTGTTGGTGTTCATAAAGATATCACCAATAACCGATATTTTAGAACTTTCTGTGACAAATTTGTTGAGTAAGTATTTATTAAAATTTTGGTAATTTGATGACTTGATAATTCGATAATTGGTTTTTACATTCGTTTTGTAGATCATTTGTTATTAAATTTACAAATAATTTAATAAAATGCAAACCAATATCTGAAATAGGAGCAGAGCAGGTACATTTATCGATATTGAAGACAGTCAGTATTCATACATTAATTAACATCAGAGTTTTATTCACAGATGTTACTCGACGTTCATGCGTTGAAAACATCATTATTGGAAATGCCAACGATGGGTATGGAAAATCCAGCACCACCACCACCGACGTAAGATTATTGATACCTTAATTGTAATAGTATCTGTAAACTAGGAAGTCAATTATTCTCTGTTGTTTATAGGTTTATCAAAATTGTGAATAAAGGAATTAGTAAAGCGGAAACTATCTTGAAGACAGTTCTTACTCCGCATGACCCACCTGAAGGATTAGTTGAGAATTATATTTTATTGATAGCAGATAAAAATATTAGTAATTTTCAAAAAATATTAGATATCAAGGTAACCTTATTTCTTCATAAGTTAGTGATATTTGTTATACTACTGTAACTTGTTAACATAATAATAATAATATAAAGGGTATAAAGAAAAACGAACAACAACCGCTAATAGAAATATTTCACCAAAAAATACACGGACATCCGACATTATCGGAAAACTCGAACATCATGTCATCACTTACGTCATCATCAACATTAATCACATCAGCACAGTTATCACAATTTATAACACCAGGTTCATTCCTTAATAATGTACCGAGTGAGAATAAGTTTAATGCAGTAAATTTTAAAAAAGTTTTAAGTGGTAGAAATTGGATAAAGAAGGATGGTAATGACGGGACAAAAAAGGATGATGATAAGGTTTAAAAAAGTTAATTTAATAACATATATGTAGTGTTATTTAATATTTTACAGTTATATTTTAGTAAAATAATATAACTGAAAATTTATTGTACCTCTCTTATTGGATATCCTTCATTGGTTAAAACGAAGTAATTTAATTCAGTAAAGTAACTATTGCCATAAAATATTTAAAGTATTACTTTTTATGAAATTTATACTGCGGTATTAGATTAAATGTGACTATGAAAATTATCAAACAAATGATATTCAGACTAATGTTACAAATCGGATCAAAAAAATACAATCGATTAGTTGTCCTAAAAAATCGATTAATCGACTAATACCGATTAATCGACTAATCGATTGCATATACAGTACCCGGGGTCTTATTCAAGAACTCCATTGTTAAAATTGAATACGTAGTACTCGCGGGTACTGTGTGAAGACCGGGTACTATGTCTGGGGGGATATTCATATGAAAGTAATAAATTAAATATAGTTACACCCCGGGTATTATTCAAGAATTAAGCCAGATGGTTTGTAATACCTGGGTCTTAATCAAGGGGAGACATTGTTTTTAGGAGATACTGTATGCAGTGTTATACGGTATATCAAAAATGGCTGGGAATTCTAGCTAAAATTCCTAAAGCGATAATATTTGGTTTTAAAAATAATGGACAAGTCCGGTCCAGTCCGTTCAGTCCTATGAAGACCGGTTTGTTAATGTTTTCAGTCCAGTCTCGGTCCAATTAGAGATGGGCAAAATTATTATGCATTCTTACTTAAGATTACTTAATATTATCTAAGATTTTTGACAATAGGTAATAATCAGCAATTTTTCGTTCAATCTCAGTTTGATCACTCAATTCCTACCGTTATCGTGTGTTTTATATGTATACGTAATAAGTACGTAATAGAATGTAATTACTTAATATTACTTAATATTAAATAAAGTGATAAGTCATAATTACTTAGAAAATTATTTTGCAAAATCAAATCATATGACGTCGGTAATTGACTATCCAACACATTTTTTTATTTAGCTATTTTAATTATTCATGAGGACCGGTCTCAAACCGAGGACTGGTAACCATGAGACCGGTTAAAAAGACCGGCCCTTATTTGGTCTTTTCAGAACTGACCCATCCCTAATATTTATGAAGTATAATTAAACAAGTTAAGTCCAGTAACTGTGATTTAATGACATCATTCTAATGTAAGAAATATTTAATGTTAAATTAATAAACACATCACAAATATTTTTGATGCTTGATTTTCGATTTGAAACACTAATTAATTCAAACCGGGCTTACTAATTTCCCCACTGACACTTTAAAATGTGACGTCTCAGTAGGGTGTTACCTTCACTAATAAATCAAATATTAGTTAGGGTAGGGGCCTGCAAATTGCCTATTTTTAAGGCCCGGCCCGGCCCGCAATTAGGGTTAAAAATTTTTTTTAGTCCCGGCCCGGCCCGCATTTAGGGTTACTATTTTTTTGCCGGCCCGGCCCGGCCCGCATATGTTAAATTTTTTCTTCAGCCCGGCCCGACCCGGCCCGGCCCGCAAAAATTTCTTATATAATTTTACAAATTTTCAGGCCCGCACTGGCCTGCAATTATAAAGTTTTGCAAATTTTTCGGCCCGGCCCGGCCCGCAATTATAAAATTTTGCCTCAGGCCCGGCCCGGCCCGCAAAAATTTGCGGGCCGGGCCGGGCCGGGCCGGGCTGCGGGACCCAACGCAGGCCTCTAAGTTAGGGTAATATATGAAGATCATTAATTTCGGATTTTTTATAGGCCATATATTTAAATATTAAATTAAATTTACATTTTTTAGCACAAGTATCTAACAAAAGTATATATAATTTTTTTTATTTTGAAGCTCTTGACTAGCTCTTCATGGTAATAAAGCTGTTTTTTGAATAATATTTTCAAAAAATCATATAAAAATTAATTAAATAATTAATAATTAATAATTATATAATAATTATTAATATTTTAAATTTTTTAATAAAATACTTAAAAAAATAACTCTATTACTATCTAGAGCTAATTAAAAGCTTCAAATTAAAAAAAAATAGTATGCATTTTTATTAGATATTTGTACTAAAAAATGTAAATTTAATTGATAAATATTTTTTCTAAAAATTTTATTAAATATTTATTAGTAGTAAATTTTTTATTTTGTATAGCTTAATTTATATTTAAATATTATTTATATAACTTTTATAGAATAATATATTAATAATTAAAGAATGCCCAGTTAATATAAATATTAAATATTAGTAAATTAAATAAAAAAAATATATAAATTATATTTTTATAAATATATGAATAAATTGATTAATATATATTTAATTATTTATATTATAATTAGTAATTAACTAAATAATAAATTAAAATGTACTATATATATTTGTTTAAATTTTTGTTTATATAACAAATTAATCTCAATATGATAAAAACAAATAAACAGTATAACCAACGATGTTATTTAAAAAGAGCATAAAGTGCTATAAAAAAAACCTTTACCAAAAAGTAATAATAATCAAATTGAAGATTTCAATTTAATTTAAAATATAATACTTAATAAAGAAGATTTATTACAAAAAGAATCAGAAATTAGTAACTATTAAAATTAATTTATTATATATTTTATTGTTATATTTGTATTTTTAATAATATTAATTAATATATTATATAGATAATACTAATCAAGAAACTAATTTTATATATAATGAATTATATCAACTAATAATTCATATTATTACTAATAATATAATAAATTTTATAGATCCATCAATAAATTCGCTTATTAAAATTATTTAAATATTTATACAGGATTATAAAAATAATTCTAAATTATTGCAATCTTGATTATTAATATTTAATACTATAATTTAAATGAATTATAATGAACTATTATTGGCTACTTCATTAATAGAAACTATGAGATATAAAAAAGGTCCAAACTAAAATAAATTTATTTCAAAATATTTACAACACAAAGCAATAAATTTTATAAAAAATTTATTTTGATAAGTAAATCATAATATTGAAGAATATACAACTACAACTAAAGAATATATTAAAACTATAAAATCTTTAGAAAATAAATTAAATATAATTAAAGTAGAAAATAGATTATTACATAGACAAATTAGAAAATTTTTACAAATTTATAAGCAGAATCATAAATAATATATATCAAATATACATTCTAATGCTTACAAGTCTCCTATAATTAATAAAAAAGAATTAAAAGCTGCAATCAAACAACAATTAATGAAAACAAAAAAGCAATATACAAACAAAATAATTAAAATAGCAACAAAAATTTGTCAAATAGGATCAATATCTTTTTGATCTGCTATCAAATGTACTAAAACTATTGTTGAATGGCTTATTGATGAAGAACCAGATCAGTGGTTTTTAGCAAAAACTTTTGTAAGATAACATAAAGATGTTACAATTATATATACTCTTAATCAATATAATATGATTGAAAAAAATCAATTTTTTGTTTATAGAATAATGGTTAATAAATCTAAAAGAGAAAATAGTAAAATTTTTATTATTTGTTTTAGTTATTGGAATTTAAATACAACTCACCCATTTCCTACTTTCTGTAGTAATATCAGAAAAATCTTTACTGAGCCTATTTCCTTTAAACCATTTTTATACTAAACACATACATGCATTATATACAAAACTAAAAACTTACTTTGCATTATTCTTAATGATAATAAACATTTCTTAGATCCACAAGCCTTAACCTTTACAACAAGTGAAGTAAACTTTCCTGCATATACACACTGTATTCACATCTTAAAACTTAAATACCTAACCCCTTTTAAACCTATGAATTAGGAACAGCACAACTTATATTGTAAAATTAAGTACTTGCAACTAACTGCTAAAGAAAAATGTATACTCTTCAAAAAATTTATTACAAGATTGCATAAAAAAAACCAAATTTATCAATGAATTCAAAGATAAAAATCAAACCAAAAATAACAAAACAAACAAAGACTTAAGCAATACTAATGAAAACCAAAAGATCAATAAAAAGGAAAAGAAAAAGAAATCACACAAAAATGTAATACAACAAATGACTTTGTTTGGTTTCTAAACTATCCTATTACTTCTAAAATACAAAAAAATAGTAAACTAATTACACTATTAGCACTTCAAGTTTTCTCAATTTTAAAATTACATTTTATAAATTTTAAGTTAGATCAAATTATTCCTACTGAACCAACAAACACAAAACCTAACAACAGACTATCTGCTAAATACTCATTCACTTATATACTTAACAAAATGACTAATAACAAACCAAAATTTCTAACTGATTTTATTCTTGAAGCTAATCCTAAATTTGATCAATCTAAGTCTATTTCTTTCAAAGTCTTAGTTAAAACCCTTAGAGATTTAATTGCTAAATTTACAACAGTACTATTTACTCAATCAGACTACTTATATATCTTCCGATCACATTACTCTATCTCATCATATTCAGCTAACAACAAGAAAAAAGTTGCCATCAATATAGCATGTCTTCATTTATATTTAAATCATACTTACAAAACTATTAATTTTGAAAATTTCATGAAAAAACTCAACATTAAACCATTATACTTCACTCTAAATTTTGATATTAATTATGATACAAATAAGCTACTCTTTGATATTCAAAATAACAATAGGTTTAATATTAAAGTCAAGCTAAACATCCCTAGCAAAAAATTTGAAGATGATTTCAAAATACCTTCACTTAAACCCCATACTAAAACATATAAAACATGATTCTTAAAATTTTTTGAAAAATACAAAATTCAATTTGAAAAAATCGATCAACAAAAAACAAGCAATTATATTAAAATGTTAATATCTCAAAAACTTGTTAAAGATTGCAAAGAACTCTTAACAGAAACTTATTCATTCCCTAACATGTTACTTACATTTCAAGATCACTTTAAAGCTACTTTCAAAGCAGCACTTCATCATTTTTATAAATGTTA